TATTATTATTATTATTATTATTATTATTTGTTTTTTTTTCTTTCGCAGGTGAAGCGTGCATGATTTTTTTATTTTTTTATTTTTTTGCTTGTGTTGTTTTAATAAAAATGCATACACATAATTTATATTTTGATTTTTTTTACTAAATAACATATTTTTGCCGGACAATTTTTTAAGTAGGTAATATTAACAAATTATATTTTCTTTCCGAATATTAATTAAAAATTTACAAGTTACTATTCTTACTACACTTAGTACATAAATTGTTTTTATATAATCTTATTTTACACCGATATATATATATTCAAATATATTAACATGAAATATATTATTTTAAATAGTCGTTCATTATATTATTCACCTCGTTCATTTATTAAACAACATTGTCGCATTTTCCAAAATAAGAACATTTGAAATTGGCATACATATCCGCAAACATCCAACAATAATATAAAATAGCTAAGCGCGTCTGTTCCCTCGATCCGCCCACAAAGCGGATGCAATTGTGTCGCGCAACGCACACTGTTCCCTATAAGCAGATTGTGAAACATTCAAAGAGGGGTTCCAACCATTCGTGTCCTCGTCTACATCACATTGGGGAATAGAGTCATCGTGCAAAGACGGAGGTAGGTTATCATTGTCTGGATCATGTTGTGGAATATAGTCCAGATCGTAGAAAGACGGAGGTAGGTTATCAGACTTCTGGTGCCGACGAATGAAGTTATGTAAAACACAACATGCGAGAACGATGTTTTTCTGGCAGTCGACCGAGTATCTTGGCATGAGACCTCTAATAATGGGGAATTTATTTTTTAGGATGCCAGTTGTACGTTTAACTATTGTATGGAGTGACGAATGTCGTTTATTAAATAGTTCTCGTGCGTTGGTAGGAGTTTGATTTGAGCCAACCCACTCCGATAAATGGTACCTCTCGGCTTTGTAAGGTGTGAGTAGGTACATTAATGTAGCCAGAGTCCACCAAGTAATATTTTCCTAATCGATTATTGAGAAAAACATTCATATCCAAAAATTTTTATATTAATCGTAATTTACGCACTACCCCAAAATATTAAAATAAATAATTATCATTACCCGGGGGCGCCATAGGAAATCGATTGCGGGATCTCTTAATGTTTCTTGGAAAATGCACGCATAATTGGCACTGCCTTCCCAACCAGATAGAACAAATGTGAAATTGCACTCGAAATCACACGCTACCATTACATTTTGCGTTAGGATTCCTTTTTGGCATCTGTAAGACCCGTGTCTCTGTTGAGGAACCCAAGCTGGTATTAGATATTGCGCCGATGCAATCCTGATTATTACGCATAAAATATGGATGGACACGAGGATTATTACGTATATAAGGAGGGACCCGATTAAAATCGGGGGGCCGAATGTACTTGGGTGCAAGCATACGTAGAGCGTCTACCATCATGTGAACATGATTACTGATCGTCTCCAATGATCGTCTGAATCTCTCCGCTGCAAGTCGTAGCCTTTGGTGGCCCTTAATTGTAAACAGAAAAATAGCAACGCTTTCTTCATTGCTTTTTTTTGTATAGCGTGGTCATGGCTGTTGTTATTTATTGTTGCTTTGCACAACAATGTGTATACCTTCTTTTCCACCCCCAGTACAACAAAAAATCTATTATCGGGGCCCATGTACAACTCATTGATCCAATCCATTCCAGTCAATGGGGTGGATGCAACTGGATTTCTCGCAATTCAGGGTCTTCTTTGTGACGTGGACGCTCGAAAAGTAGCAAGTTGTTCGTATAGTGAATCAAGTTGTGCCGCATTAAAATTTACTTTTTCTTCATCGTCATTCGCACTATCGACTATATCGTCTTTGCTTTCTACACAGTCATCGATAGTGTCATCACCATTTTTTTCCAAATCAACCTCAGCTGCGTCGAAAGAATCCTCATTTTCGTAGTATTGATTGCGCTCATCATCCACGTCAGACATCCTACATTAGTAAAATGCATAGCCCAAGAATAAGGTTTAACATGAACCAAACTGTTGAAGATGGGAAATATTATCAATAACAATCGTCATACAAACACCAACAAACACGCGTACTGAAATTGAAACAAGTTATCAATAGTGTTTAAAACAACTCAAACAAGTAAGAAAGTAAACGCAGTGTCACTACTGCGAACTCTCGTCAACCCAACGGGCAATTAAAGCTCTACGATGTGCTTCGACTTTTAGGGAAACGAACATTCTACGGTTGAAAGGGACTTCAAACTTTATAAGTACAAGCATGACAACATCGACCGACAAATCTGTATAAGCTTCAAGCTCGACAACCGCTCTTTCAGTCGTCGTTTGTGCAGCTTGTTGAATAGC